TCACCTCAGCCTAGCAGCAACACTGAGCTGGTATTAAAGCAACGGTCAGAAGCCAAGCATGTTGGGATATTGTACAATATTGTATTACTTTTTGTTGATGAATAATACATAATACAGAGAGATAACCTAACTGTAGGCAGTAACTAGCACAGTCTCCTTTCTCTGCGACGGGAGGCTATGACTGATTGATGCCTGAGCATGTAGAAGCAGCGGCGCACTGTAAGTTGAATTTAATTTACTTGCATGGTGCGGGCTTTTACCTTTTGCTTGAGCGTTTGGATCTTAAAGCAGGTGTTTCTAGGTTGTTGACACCACAGTATTAGTTAAACACATTGTAGTTCTTTGCTAATAGAGAAAAAACATGACCTGTTTTTACAAAAGACAAACATTTGAGTTATCTGTGGAACTGGCTTTATTGCATTTGAGTTGTATTAGTTATGTTGAATGCATTTCTTTTTAAAGTCTTCTATGAACTTAGTAAGGGCAGGGCTAGATAACCAAATGTGAGTGATTTGCTTATACCTTCAGGCGTGGGACTGGCTGTAATTAGGAGCTTTGAATGTGTGCTTGTACATGTGCCTTTGTGTAATAAATGACTTTGCCACAATGAGACTTCATAGGGATGTGGTTTGATTTGCATCTAAAGTTTCAGGTAAACATGAGTTAAATTTTTTGATTCAGTGATGATGAGTGACCTTGGGAAGCAATTGGTAATTTTTGCAGTAGCATGGCGAATTAATATATTATTAATAATAATAATACTAATACTGTAGTACAACAGGTTAAATACAGCATACTTGGAGTAAAATGAAAAAGTTGCAAAAAGTTTTGTGTCAAGTGCTATTGTTGACTTAATGTGCATATTAAAAAATAAATTAAAAAAAACAATGTTTGGATTACCTATTTCCTACTTTGATAGCTTAAGGATAATTTGTTGTCGCTGTAATGCTGTCTTAAAATGAGTCTTTCATCTTCTTTTTCGTCTGCATGCTTTGCACTGCAAAGGTTAAACTGAAACTTCAACCCACTCACAGCCTTATAAATTAGCTCAGGTCTCCTTTCTTCCCCTGGCGGTCCTGGCTCCTGTTTCCTTACTCTCCTCAAGTTGCTTTGACTTTTGTTCTTTAAAAAAGTGAAATAAGGTGACTTAACATAGTGCACAATGTATTATCTTGAAATGTTTCAGAGTGCTGAGCACTTTCATAAAGTTGCTCTCTGGATACAAAGCAGCAAGAGATGACATCTGGGCAAAACAGGTATGCAAATGTACAGTGAATTCACTGTTGCATTACATTTATAATTATGTCACTTTTGTACACAGTATTTCAGTGCAAGACCTTGCACCCTATAATACAGATGCTAAGTGCACTGAAACAGTGCTGCACCATATTGAAATTAAAGAGGCAAACACACCTCCTTTATATGTAAATTAGCCTTCTTATTAGATTGTACCATTTTCACAAAAAGTATTGCTATTTGCCGTTTACCTTCCTTACAGAATTGTATTAATGAAATGTTTGTGCATATTCTGTTGTGATTATGGCTGCAGTAATTCAGCAAATTATAGGGAAGATCATTATAACCGGGTATATCAGATGTGTGGTGCAGTACAAAATGTTAGCATTTTTGCTTTACCTGATTTGCATGAATCCTTTACTGAACTGGATGCTAAACAAGCACAGACAACATGTGCAAATAAAATAGTACCAGCTCTCGTTCTTTGTGAATTCTTCCATGTGTGTTTAGTGTCATGTGGGGTGACCATACATCTTTTTTTCCCAGGCATGTCCTGGCCAGGATTTTTAAATTACCTAAAATGACCAGATTTTGAATGGGTTTGTTTTACTATTGTTTTCATACTTGCTGAATGTAATGACTGAAAAGTAGTTTGACCCATAGTGTGCAAGCTTTGTACATAATTGAATAATCATGGTGTGCAAGAAGAGAACAGAATGCAAATGCACGTATATATCATGTTTGAGGACTGTAGAGAGCATGTCAGTAAAAAAAAAATATATATATATATATATAAAATACCTTCACAATAACCTGTCAAAAGGTCCAGTTTAACTTGAAGAAATTATGACAGTGATATATACTATTGTATGCTAATATATCATACTAAAATATCACTCTCAAACTTTTTTTTAAGGAATATCATGCAACCAAGGTATTTTTTATTCATTTATACAGTTCTGTTGTGCAACGTCTTGTTCGACAATAAAAATGCAATGTTTTGTTGTTAAATTCATTTAATTTTATTACATTTTAAAGGAATGATCAAACTGTTAAAGTTTTAATAATTAATTTAATTAGACATAATTTTTATGATAAGTTTGTTCTGAATCATAAACCATGGAATCCAGAAAAAAAATTAAATGGAAAAAATAATTTAGGGGAAAATAAAATGGATTTCATGGGGCCCTAAATAAAAAGGTATCTTACTCTGTGGTGTTTAATTGTGAACAAAGTTATGTTTACATTTTTTTTTTTTTTTTGCAAACTCTCTACCAAAATGTTCAATTTAGATCTAGGAGGTTGCCAGAATGTTGCAAGGTTGTTAGGGTGTTTTAGGTGGTTTCTTACTTGCCCAAATGAAGAGTCTATTAACATTAATACCTCAGACCTTAAGTATGAGCAGCAATAGTGAGGCTTACTTAGCAAGGGCCACTTAAAAATGCATACGCTAATGCACCTCATTACCTCTAAGTACCATAGGTAGGCGAGGTCATGTTACACACTCACACCCAATGTCTTGTAATTTCTGAGTGCTGAGGTGGGCTAGTCTTTCGTTTTCTCTTGTGTCTCTGTGTCATGGAGTTTTGTAACATATAGAATCTCAATTCATTATTGAACATGTCTGGAAGATCCTCGGACACTTTACATTGAGTTCTGCATGTGCTCAGTTACATACTACGTGGCCTCACTGTTTAGAAGGCTAATCACTTGGCATAAGTAATGACCGATAATGTCCTGTCATGCTTAGATGATGTTTTATAAGAGATTTGGTTGTTTTCTTAACTTTTGCATGTTTTTACCAAAAAGCAGGTAGGCCAACATGCTTCTTTTGACTGCATCCTGAAACAGAGTAACTTAATTGCCACTTTCTACAAATGAGTACAACATTTGTTTTTAAAATGAAGTCAGAGTTTTGTTCTTTGTATAACAAAGGATGAAAGGAGCCACTGCCAAGAGAAAAATGTTGCAGCAGTAGGTAAAATGATAGAAGATTTAGCCTAAATTACAATATCCCTCAGTGGGGGGCTAGTTAGTTTTGGACCAAATGTTGGTTTGTAGTTGCTAATAAACTTATATTTCTGTTTGATCATTTTCTTAACACAGTATCTCTCATAACAGGGCTGAATGGTTGAGCTAGACGTATTCAGGCAGCACTACAATTTGTGTAAAAATTGAGAAAATGGAACAAGATTATTTACTTGTCCTTCCACCATGTGAAAAATGAATGGGAAAGGAATGCTCCAAATGCTGTTACTTCCTCTGCATTACAATTTTAAGGAATCTTCCAAAATACCTAATAGGTCTTGCTACTGATAAAGGAAATTGTGCCATTTTTGCTATAAAAAAAAGTAATAGCACAGCAATTTGTACCATATTCAGAGACAAAATTGCAATTTCAATAGAATAAATACTAAACACTGCATGAAAGAGCTTTCTCTGTTGTTAAACCCCTAACAAAGGATAAAGATGCTTCTCAAAGGGTGTTCACCCAAAAATGGAAATTAGCCCATGAATTACTCAACCTCAAGGCATCCTAGGTGTATATGACTTTCTTCTTTCAGACAAATCCAGTCAGAGTTATATTAAACATTTTCTTTGATCTTTCAAGCTGTTCAATGGCAGTCAGCGGGTGTTGCAGTGCATCAGTTCAAAAGAAGTGAAATAAAGCACATCCATCCATAATAAAAAGTGCCTCACACGGGTCCGGAGCGTGAACAAAGGCCTCCTGTAGCAAATCGATGCGTTTTTGTAAGAAAAATAACCATATTTAAAATGTAATAATCAATTGAATCTAGCTTGCGTTCCCTATTGATCACGGAAGCAGCTCCGGGCGTATGACGTAGGACGCCGGCGTTGCGCATACGCCGCTCAGAAGTGACAAACGCGGAAGAGCAGGGGAGAGATTAAAAAAAAACAATGGTCACGAATTAGAAGTACAAAACGAGCATTTGTAAAGAAGAATGTCGGAGTATTTTGATATAAGCCAAGAGGAGACTGGTTTTCCTTTGCTAAAGTAAGGAAACTTTGCTTCCTTTGCTCCTCTTAACAAACGTTGGTTTTCACGAGACTCACGGGTGAATGCGCAACGCTGACATCTTACGTCATCCTCCCAGAGCTGCTTCCGTGTACAACTGTTGGCGCAAGCTAGATTATAGTGATTATTACGTTTTGAATATGGATATTTTTCTTACAAAAACGCATCGATTTCGGTACAGGAGACCTTTGTTCACCCCCCGGAGCTGTGTGAGACACTTTGTATTACAGATGGATGCGCTTTATTTCACTTCTATTGGACTGATGAACTGCAACACCCGCTGACTGCCATTAAACAGCTTGGAAGATCAAAGACAATTTTTAATATAACTCTGATTGGAATCATCTGAAAGAAGAAAGTCATATATGCCTAGGATGGCTTGAGGGTGAGTAAATATAATGGGCTTATTTTCATTTTTGGGTGAACTATCCCTTTAAGCTACTCAGTCTGGTTATTTTCTTTGAGTTAGAGAGGTAGTCCCCCTGGAGTTATATTCTTAGTTGTTCTAACTAGCTTTGGCGCCTGTATCACTGAGTATCTAAATGAGGAAAGGCTCATGGCGTTGTCAACTAATTCCACTTAATCCTAACATATCTTAATAGTGCCAGGCATGGCTCGCTGGGATTAGCTTTAACTGTGGTTAACTCCTCCACAAGTGTTCACACGCTGCGACTGCTTCAACAGGGTCAATATGGAATTATTCAACAAAATGTTCATCGAGCATTTAAGAAAGGAATGTAAGTGTTGAACTATACAGTTTTATCTTAAAAGTGGGTTTAATTGCAGTTAGAGTAGAGAAAGTGCTGGTTGAACTTTCACCCGGTAGGGTTACAAATGGTAAGTCTGGCAGAGAGACAGTATAATAATGCGGGTGATTACTAACAGTAGTTACATAATTTCAAGCATGATTAACTCTTTTTTCCCCCCTTTAAACAACAGAAGTATTTATGACAAATTTTATGACTGGCATGGTTGCTCTAAAAATAGCATGTGTGTGTGTGTGTGTGTGTGTGTGTGTGTGTGTTTTATGACTTGCTCTAAAAATAGCATGTGTGTGTGTGTGTGTGTGTGTGTGTGTGTGTATAATGGTAATATGTCTAAACGTCTAAACACTCACCTCTGATAGCCAGCTCTGTTCACAGTCAGTGAGTGTTTGATTCAGTAAAACAGAGTGAATCACATACAGAAACCCCACAGGAGTCTGAATCTCTGCACACGTCACACTGATGTTATTCATAATTCAACACTGAAAGAAGAAGTGCATTTTAAACCACAGAAATGATTGCATCATTGCATGACAAGTACATTTTTTAATGAAAAGGGTGTATTATTCTGCATTAAAATGTTAAGATTCTCGTCTTATATAATTTATCAAAAAAAACCCTGAAATATCCAAAGAATTATGATGCATCAAAGTAATGTTTTCCAACAAATAACGTCTCAGATTTCAGTCCAATCCTCACTCAATGACTTGAAATACAGTGCAGTGTGTATTCACATGGACTGGAACTGTTATGATATGTTTTATTATTTCTGGATCTTGAGAGAAGCAGGTCTCATCCACTTTCAATGTAATAATAAGAGAAACCAGGATATTAATAATAATAATAATAATAAACCCCATTGAGCACTTCATAGACTCTTCATTGTAGTGGTTACACTTCAGTAATGGCTACGGTGGCCGAGAGAGCTCAACGCGCTGCAACTTAAGAAAACACAAAGTGACGTGACACGTGGCCAAGTATGGTTACCCATACTACGAATGAGTGCTCTGCATTTAACCCATCCTAAGTGCACACACACAGCAGTGAACACACACACACACACACACACACACACACCGTGAACACACACCCGGAGTTTGCTGCGGCCCCCGGGGAGCAGTTGGGGGTTCAGTGCCTTGCTCAAGGGCCCCTCAGTCGTGGTATTGAAGGAAGAGAGCGCTGTACATTCACTCCCCCACCTACAATTTAGTTGTTCTAACTAGCTTTGGCGCCTGTATCACTGAGTATCTAAATGAGGAAAGGCTCATGGCGTTGTCAACTAATTCCACTTAATCCTAACATATCTTAATAGTGCCAGGCATGGCTCGCTGGGATTAGCTTTAACTGTGGTTAACTCCTCCACAAGTGTTCACACGCTGCGACTGCTTCAACAGGGTCAATATGGAATTATTCAACAAAATGTTCATCGAGCATTTAAGAAAGGAATGTAAGTGTTGAACTATACAGTTTTATCTTAAAAGTGGGTTTAATTGCAGTTAGAGTAGAGAAAGTGCTGGTTGAACTTTCACCCGGTAGGGTTACAAATGGTAAGTCTGGCAGAGAGACAGTATAATAATGCGGGTGATTACTAACAGTAGTTACATAATTTCAAGCATGATTAACTCTTTTTTCCCCCCTTTAAACAACAGAAGTATTTATGACAAATTTTATGACTGGCATGGTTGCTCTAAAAATAGCATGTGTGTGTGTGTGTGTGTGTGTGTGTGTGTGTATAATGGTAATATGTCTAAACATTGTTTAATATATATATATATATATATATATATATATATATATATATATATATATATATATATATGTTTAGACATATTATTATTATTTTGCACTAAAGGGATTTTTTAAATGAAATTTCAAACCCATATGCTATTTTTTGTTCTGTAGAACACAATAGGACAACGTTTAAAGAATGTTTCCATTTTCCATTTTCACACAATTCTTCAAAGTATTGTTTAGTCTAAAACTTGTTTGCACACAACTTAACTGCCTTAGTAATGCTTAATGGCCATTAAAAGGCAGACTATCCTAAAAGTGGATCCTCTACAATGCTCTACAACAATAATTAAAAACAAAGAAAGAAAGAAAACGAGGTATAATTCTTAAAGTGAGTGATGTGATACCTGATATTGTGGAAGACAACAGGCAAATTCCTGGATGCTTGTAAGGCAAATGCAAACAACATTAAAGCATTTCTTAGCAGAGCTCTAGAAAGTCAATCTTCATTTTGAGACAATACAAATATTCCCTCTGAAATCCATTCTGTCTTGTGTGATAATTTAATGGTCTCTCTGTGAAATTAGCTTACATGCTAAAATACACAATGCAACTTTTTCACTGTCCAAGCTAATGCTGGAGTTCATTAGGAATCCCATTCTTCACTGTGGTTTTATAGCTGGCACATCAGGTTATGGTAGCCAGAGCGGTTCGTAATGTTTGACACATGCAGAGAACAAAAACGAGGTCATAAAAGCTGCTTGAATCAGGGTCTCCGTTATTCACTCACATTAAAGAGACATGCCCACATTCTCCATCACAACAATATGAGACTCTTATGAGGCGCTTAAACCACAGGGAGCAAGAGCTTTGTGGGAACTATTTAAATGAAAGGAAGGGATGCAACATGGGAACAATCATCTTATCTACTTCAGTTTTATTATTGAAGGTTATAAAACAAACAGTTCCTCTCAGTTCAAGGGAACACAACTTTGTTTAAATGTATGCTATTACTTGTTTAAGTGATCAGACATAAGATTTGCTTTTGGTCAGCTGTGTCCAAACCTGCACTTGTAGGGTGCCTAGCCTTGTCCCAATTCAGAGGCTGCATCCTCCGATCCATCCTTTGCAGCGTTTGTAATGCGTTTGCATTTTTGTAATGTTAGATATTTGATTGATTTGAAACTCAGTACTTACATTTAAGTGTAATCCTGCATTCCCATAATCCTGCAAAATAATCCTGTTATCATTTACTAGGGTTGGGTACCGAACTCTGTACTTTTAAGGGTACCGACCGAATTGCGTCGGTGCTACCGAGTACCGATTCACGGTAAATCAATCGGTGCCAAATTTCGGCATACGCTACAGAGAGAGAAAGAGAGACCATGTGATGTGAGGTCACCCCTGCAACTCGCTCAAACAACACACAGGGCAAGCCGAAATGTTCTGAAACGTAATTTACTCTATAGTGCGGAATGCCACGGAATTCGTCAATTTTGGACGAATAAATTAAAAGTAGCCACTGCCACTCAAATCGAATCGCGATATGAACTTGTGTCTGTGAATATTAAAATGCAAAAAGACGGTTTAAATATGAATCCTGCATGTTCCGCTTGCCTGTATGTATATATATTACTCTTGTATTACTTTTGTACAGTATATTGTACATCTTTAAATATTCCATTTTCTATCAAATAAAAAAAAACAATTAAATGATATCAATAAATATTACAACCAGATTAATCACTTAATTGTAGAAAAAAATAATAACATTTTTAGCCTATTAAAATTTTTTTTAAAGGAATATTCACATAATTTTTCTTCCATGCATTAATTTCAACAGTAAACCTCAGTTTGTTTGCTAAAAAATAAAAGGGTTTAATTTTCATTTGATTTAAAATAAATGTTTAATGCCTTGATTTTAAAAATTAAATGTTTGTAGGGCCCTATTGTTCAAAATGTTGAAATTGAGACTTTTGGACTTATTTTTTCACTGAAATAAATGTTTTTGTAATTACACAGAGAGTAAAGTACCGAAAAAAGGTACCGTTGGGTACCGGCACCGAAATTCAGGTACCGATACCGGTACCATACCGGTTAAAATGTGAACGGTACCCAACCCTATCATTTACGCAATTAATCTTGGGAAAGTCTGGGTCATGAAGGATCCATCTGTTGCATCTTTCATGTCCTGGGAAAGGATGTGTTTCAAGGACCCATTTTAAGGAGACTTCGAGATGGAACGGTCTTTGTCGCACTGTTGTAATGCATTCAGTCTTCAAATGTAGCCTCTGTATTGGGACACAGTCACTTTTGTGCAGTTTTTAGCTCCAACACACCTGCTTGGAAGATCCAAGTGATTCTGATGACCTTGATTAGCTGGTTCATGTGTGTTTAATTAGGGCTAGCAAGCATCTAGAACACCTCAACCACTACAAAGCAATGCCCTGGCAGCCTCCCATAATACCCTAGCATAGGCAAGCACCATTCATGTTTCTTCAGAACTTGTAAAACTTTGCTACCGGGTTTCTTTTATGGGGTAAGTTTCTGTCAAAGTTTTAGCATTGTGCAAACCGACATGTAATGTTTTCTTTCTCTATGTTATAGTTACTGCTAGGTTTTGTCGAGCAATATCCACATAATGTAGTCTTTGAAGGACCTACTTCTGACCCTTTGGTAAATTGGTTCACGGGATCCTTTGATTTTCAGCCCTTGATAATATCTTCCTGCTTTTCTCGTAAATTGAGCCAAAACATTTTAGTACAAAGTTTTCTATCCCATCCTCAATGACAGGCAAAAGCCAACAACTTTTGCAAACAGTCTGAGGGATTCGCTAAGTCAGACATAATAAAGGGTGAGTTTATCAAGTAGGACATGTTTCTACTGTAAATATATTTTTTTTAATCCTGAAGCAACATTGCTGTCATACAAAAATAGTCCTAGCTGTACCAAGAGCTGTACCCATTCCTTACGTATTAGTGTGTATTTTCATGCAGAGGTTCTTTTACTCATCGCATGGTTGTTAAAAGGTGTTATCTCATGTGTTCAGGCATCACAAGTGAAAAACAACTTCCAAGTTAACCACTATAAGTCAAATGGAAAAAAAGCAGGCAGCCATCTATAACTCAGACTCAGTGTGTGCTCTTTCTCCATAGGAGATCGCTCGGGAAGATGTTTCCTCGCTCAGGAAAATCCATTGTCTTTGACAGCTTTCCAGATCCATCTGACACATGGGAGATCATTGAGACTATTGGTAAAGGGACTTATGGAAAAGTTTATAAAGTGCTTAACAGGGTCAATGGCAGCAAAGCCGCCGTCAAAATACTGGATCCAATCCATGTGAGTAAAACCCTGCTAGATCAAACCTGTATGTGGTGTGTGTTTTTAGGTCACAAAGAGAGACAACAAGCATGCACATCTATGAGTCCTGTTTTGCCGAACCCTGAGTCGTAAATTTTAAACACAGAGCAAACTCAAGGTCAGATTTGCACAGAAATGAGGTTAAAAGCAGATACATTGTACGCCCTTCAGGTTCAATCAGTTCACATTTGTGTGCATATGCATGTATTTGCGCATTTGTGTGTACCTGTGAGAGTGTTTATGCCTTAAGACAGGCCTGCAGTCAATTACTGACCACTGAGATCATCTACTCGCCACTGTCATATTAAGAAGAGAACATCTATATCCTGCAGATAATGCCAAAAGGCTCTCTGTGTCTCTGTCTCTGTCTCTCTCATTATTTCTCTAGCCACACACTCTATCTTTTAGTGACTGGGCAAATAAAAGGGCTCCTAACAGCACATACCCAGACTAATCATGATGAAACGGCTTTTCAGAAAATGTGCAATTTGTGTTCATTTACTTCACAAGAGTTTCTCCAGTTCACCCTTTCAAGGTACTGAAAGGAAGCTTGGAAGTATTTCAATGGCCTTTGGCTGCCAGTATATTTAAAATTACTCATCTAGATCAAATAAATCTAGGCTTAATTTAATAGACTGCAGCTGCCGTGGTCATTGTACCTCAGATAGTCACAAATATGTATTCTCACCGCTTTCCAAGCACAGGAAATGCAGTAATCATGTGTAGTAATAGAAATATGGAGCACTTTTGAAGCCAAAAGGCATCACAGAAAAGACCCATGAACCGAATCCATTAAAATTCTACATTCAGAGGTTGTTTTTCCTCCAGGTTCAATCAGTAAACAGTAATTTTCCAACACTGGAGGACGTGGAAGCCAACAAATATTATTTCAAAATATCCCTCATGTGTAGTGTACCGCTGTGGCCTGTGGGGCTTTATTAATGTTGACATTTCATGGCCTTTGCAGTTTTGCTAAATTCAATAGATAAAATGACCCGCAAAAATAGTTTTTTTTGCATCAGTGACTCTCTTTGAAACATTAACCACTGAATAGTTGAAGAAATGTTTCTTTTTACTCAAAAATGAAAGTAGAAGTTTGAACTATTGCCCTGTTTCTCTTAAAAGTCAATTCAGTTAATCTGTTTCTTTAAGGATATTGACGAGGAAATTGAAGTCGAGTATAACATCCTGAAAGCTCTCTCAGACCATCCCAATGTCGTCAAGTTCTTTGGAATATTCTACAAGAAGGACGTCAAGAACGGGGATCAGCTATGGCTAGTGCTAGAGGTAAAGTTCAATTCTATGTCATGCACGTGGGCCTCATTTATTTAAGCTTGTTGCATATCACACACATGTTAAATTGGGCTAGTGAAATTATCAGCAAAACACTTTTAAATGCCATAATCAATCACCGTTATTATATTTGCAGCCGGAAAACATGCATATGCAAATGTGTTTGTAAATCAGGGCAAAGTGTACTGCATGCTATATCATTATCACATTATGGATTTATTGCTGTCATCACAGTGTGGGCTGATGGGGTATGTATGAAAGCAGTGGAAATCTGTTTAAAGAGGATTAGCGAAAAGTGCTGCTAATAAAAGGTTATTAGTATCAACACCTCTGTATTTTTGGGAACATGTTTAAATTGGAACATAGAGAACATGTCTCAAATCTTATGGAACATCAGGATGCATCTCTGTGTTTTCAAGATATTTTGCATAAATGTATGTATTATTTTTAAAAACACATTAGGCCTACAGTAATGATAGTGACCTTTTCTGTTGTTTGACTGCTTGAGAACAGACAGGTATAAAGGTGTGTGTTGTGGAAATTGGATAAGATAAGTGTTACATAAGAGACTTTAGTATTAGAAGTAGGTCTGGACAGAGTTTTTGTGGCAGGACAGGTATGGGCGTGTGGAGATGACTGTTAATGTGGACTGGCTGCATCTGGCTAAGATGAGCATGTTTAGATACCAATTCTGCATTCAGACACGCAGGCTTTAACAGGAAAGAGATGGTCTATCACTGTAATGGATAACAGTGAGGCTGCCTTGTATTGAACCATTCTGTAACTATATATTGATGAATAATGCTCAGTAGTTATGTCTTTCAGCAGTAATTATCCAGTAAAAAATGTGTTCAAACAGCCCATAAATGTTGTATCGAATTTACTAAAGAAGTTGTGTTATTAGAGATTCATACAGTAATGTGCAAGAACATAAAATTATAAACACCTAGTATTTAATGTGTATCATTTGTATTCTTTAGTTTAATATGTAAAATTATAATACGTTTTACATTTTATCGCCACAACAGCTTGAATGGTTATGCACAAAAACCTTCTGGGAAAGTTTTATTTCAGCTCATCCAATTGCAGAAGTGACATAATGCCTAATTTAATTTGAGACTAATACAACATAATTTTCAGTTTGTTTAAATTGTGCTCTTTTTTCAAATATCCTCAAGGCATGTTTTTAAAATTAAAGCCTACCGATTGATTTGCATAACTCCCCCAAGTTACAGTGATACAGATATGTTATTGGATGGTAATACCAACATTGTTGGGGAAAGGTACTTTTAAAAGTAATGCATTACAATATTGCGTTACGCCCTAAAAAAAGTATCTAATTACGTTACTTAGTTACTTTTTATGGAAAGTAATGCGTTACATTACTTTTGCGTTACTTTCGTGTTACTTTTAAATATGAGCAGGGATTGATTGTTTTTAATATAAGAAGTTCTATTTATAGCAAATGTAAAAGCCCTTTCACACCAAAAAGTGTAATGAACAAACCTCAGGCTGAAGGAAAAGTAAATTCACGTCTGTACAGTAGAACACAGGAGAAGAAGGTTCAACACTCTTCAGCAATACGAAAACAATGAAGCACAATTGTTAGTTTATCTAAAATCATTTTTGCTTATTAGTATGGTTGAACTGGATCATCAAAGGTCAGCAGCAAAGACATTGGTTAATAAAATGGGATTAGATACATTTGTGTTATTTAACATATTTAGATATTGCAGGTTTGCGTCATATTCTGAGTTTGCATTTCACTGTTTTAATTCATTTTGATGAATACTAAATCTGTTTTTTGTGAGTGGGATGAATTAATGCACATTCACATTTAGTCTAGAACTACAGTAACATCATGTTCACACAACGCCTCTGCACTTCCGATTTCTCCCAATATGGGGACCGGAGAGCTGTCAGTCAATAAATGGGAAAACAAAGTAACTGGCGTTACTTTTTTGAAAAAGTAACTCAGATATTTTCTTGTAAATTAAAAAAAGTAATGCGTTACTTTGCTAGTTACTTGAAAAAAGTAATCTGATTACGTAACTCGCATTACTTGTAATGCATTACCCCCAACACTGAATACCAATGTACTTTGATATATGCCATCATATTCATACTTAGTGATAACATTTTGCTCATGCAGTACCATGATATTTACATGGGACTTTAAGGTACTTCAAATTGAACTTTATGGTATTACAAACCCAATTCCAAAAAAGTTGGGACACTGTACAAATAAAAAAGGAATGGAATAATTTACAAATCTCATAAACTTATATTTTATTCACAATATAATATAGATAACATATCAAATGTTGAAAGTGAGACATTTTGAAATGTCATGCCAAATATTGGCTCATTTTGGATTTCATGAGAGCTACACATTCCAAAAAAGTTGGGACAGGTAGCAATAAGAGGCCGGAAAAGTTAAATGTACATATAAGGAACAGCTGGAGGACCAATTTGCAACTTATTAGGTCAATTGGCAACATAATTGGGTATAAAAAGAGCCTCTCAGAGTGGCAGTGTCTCTCAGAAGTCAAGATGGGCAGAGGATCACCAATTCCCCCAATGCTGCAGCGAAAAATAGTGGAGCAATATCAGAAAGGAGCGTACACATCCAATGGACGGAGCATATTTGTTGGGATTTAGGGGTTGACCAACTTGTATTAAGGTTTAAAAGAAGTCTTATTAAATTGTTTGTGCTGTCATTAAACCACATAAACCAGCATTATATCTGCCACTCTGCTTTCTATATATAAGTCCAAGGTTACTAAACAACCCATATCAGCCATAAACCACTACATTTTGTAGGGAGCGAATTATTTGCAGTTGATTTTCAAAATTGTGTTGTATAAAAGCCTCAGATATACAGGTTTGGAAGTAAACTTCTCAGTGAGAGGTTTTGTCCTTGTGACCTTTAAATGTACTTTCGATCTCAGACATTTCTAAACATTGTAGTTCTTTGAAGCCATGGAGTTTAACATGTGCTCAGCAGAATATTTACAAGACGCTGTGCCCCTGAACAGCTCCCCCACTTATCTTTGTTCTCTGATGATCACAGTGCAAATAGAATATCTCTGGAATTATTTGTTTACAGTGCCACTTGGTTGAATTTTATAACATAAAGCGATGCTATTTTGAATGCCTTACTTCAAATACTGTCACTGTCCAAAAAATCATATGTTTGTAAAGATTTCTGCATATTTCAGCTGAAACCTCCATGAAGAAGCCACATTCTATTTTATTCCAAACACATTTACCACAAATAACAAAAGCTATTTTCTTCCTTTGCAAAGCTTTAAGCAAGTTTCTCCAGCTGCAGTAGAAGGAATGATCTTTTTTCTTGTTCGTGTATCCCCAAAGAGGTTTGCATTTCTGTATGCAAACTCCTGCATGCAAAATCCACAGTCAGCAATCCAAATGTGGAAGTTAATCCTCTGGCTGGAGTCACAGCCGAGCATTCAAGCTGTCAGCAGCAAGTTAGCAGCTGAGGAGACTAGGGAACGCAGGGGCAGTAAATTGCCATGGTTACAGTCGTCCCCTCTGAACTGTAATTTTCCGTATTTCAGTAGGATCCGGGAAGAAGGTTCCTCCACGATGAGTGACCTCTGATTACAGTGATGATTCACACAAATTGCGTCCTCCACTTTGCTGGCTGCTCATCAGGCCCGGTGCTTGTTCTGCCTCTCTTTTGTGTTGTATGTTCTAATTATGGATATGAAGGGAACCGCTTTCATCTGTACTCACCGGTTCCTCGTCGTATAAGGGGCCAACTCCGCTCTGTCATATTATAACTTCAAAGATATCGGAAATGATCTCTATTGGGTTTTGTTCAAGTTGGCTTGTAGGCTCCAGTTGGTGGTTAATGGCTGATAGGACTGACGACAGCGGTTCATTGTTGTAGTTTCAAATGAATCAGTACGTCTCTGTACCACTGTTATTCTTTGTTCATTTAAAATGCCTGGCTTTTTGCGGATATGTAGCTTGTAAAAGCCTACTTGATGAAGTGGATTTATTGACTGGATTCTTAAAAATTGGAGACAATCAATATAACATGGTGCTTGCATCATTGCTCAAGTTATTTGCAAAAACCTGTAATATGATTCTATAGGTAACATTAGTTAATGCAATGGCTAACGTGAACATGAACATTTGTAGTATTTATTAATCTATGTTTGTTATTGTGTTTTATTTTTACATATGCATTTTACACATTTTAACAACTTAATCTGCATAAATTAACGTCAATGTAAAAGAAAACATTGATTAGCAATGGGCAGTAGTATATTTACAAATGTTCATTGTTGTTAATGATGTTAATACATCAATGTTAACCCTAATTTTATTTTTATTATTATTATTTTTTTTTACAGTATACACAAATGTTAAAATGTGTGGAATCGGTATGATTTTTTTGAAAGCTATACTTTTGACAGCAAAGACTTTTTCATTGTTACAATAAATAAATAAATAAATAAAATATAAATGCTGTCAAACGATTAATCGCGATTAATCACATCCAAAGTAAAAGTTTTGTTTACATAATATGTGTGTATACTGTGTATATTTGTAATGTATATATAAATACACACGCATACAGTATATATTTTGAAAATATTTCCATGTATATATTTACAGTATATTCTTATATTTATCTATATATTTAATATATAAAAGTAAGATATTTTTCTTAAATATATACATGCATGTGTGTGTATTTATATATACATAATAAATATACACAGTACACACACATATATTATGTAAACAACAACTTTACATATATATATATACAAATTCTGTTATTTTGAACAGATTCAGTTCATCAAAGAAAACTGTTTTAGTTTCCACAAAAAGCAGAAGCAGAACAACTGTTTATAATAATTATATAAATTGTTTCCCAAACACCAAATCGGCATATTAGAATGATATCTGGAGGATCATGTGACACTGAAGACTGGAGTAATGTTCCTGAAAATTCA